TCCTCCTCCTCCTCCTCCTCCTCCTCCTCCTCCTCCTCCTCCTCTTCTTCTTCTTCTTCTTCTTCTTCTTCTTCTTCTTCTTCTTCTTCTTCTTTTTCTTCTTCTTCTTCTTCTTCTTCTTCTTCTTCTTCTTCTTCTTCTTCTTCTTCTATTGCCCTCAATCATTCCCAGCATTGGGCTCTTCTCCAGGGAGTCCTTCCTTCTCATGAGGTGGCCAAAGTCTTTGAGTTTCCTCTTCAGGATCTGGCCTTCTAAAGAGCAGTCAGGGCTGATCTTCTCTAGGACTGACCGGCTGGATCGCCATACCCAAAACCTGCAACTGTCTTTCATATATTTTAGTCTCCGGGCCTTTAATCATCCTAGTTGCTTTTCTTTGCACTTTTTCCAAAATCTCAACATCTTTTTTTGTAATTATGAAGTGGTACTAATCAGATGTTGTGTTTTGCGAGTGGGGAAAAAGCCTCAACTCAAAACTATCTCACCAGATTGTTGTTTTTTTGGGGGGATCACCTCTGCAGCTTCCTCTCCCTTCTCTAGAAGAACCCATGCCCTCTTAATAGCTCGCACACATTCACATTCCAAAAATTTACTTCGAAAGTAAATAAACCAACCGACTTCAGGAAAATAGGAATGAAAAGCACTGGCTTGGTTAGCGGATTCTCTCTCAAAGATGCCAGGTATTTTGAACAAAATACAAAAGAAATAAAACCCTTTCTTGTACGGTAAGCCAATTGCACCACCCAGTGGTCCATCAAACCATATTTCCTTTTCATTCATGTAGGCTAAGCTGGCTGGAGAATTCTGGGAGTTGAAATCCACAAGTCGTAAAGTTGCCAAGTTTTTGGGGACCACCACTGTAGGCTTACTCCAGCCATTGTACGAAGAGATATTGTAATTGGTTTAGTTTCTCGTTGGGTGAACCAGCAATTGTGGTTTCTGACAGTAAACAGCAGCTGAACAAACCACAGCTTTGCACTGTGTGAATCAGGTTTATCGCTCGTTCAACAAACCAGCTTTGTACACCTGAAGCCTCTCATCGAAGCAACACGGAAGGAAGTGCAAACAACTTATTTTTAGGACCAGGAGAAACGTTTTAAAATGTTCGGTGTGAATTCAGAAATCTGTTTCTTTCCTACGGAAGTATGCTAACACTATTTGACGAAACCCAATTTTAAGGCTAGTGATATGTGTGAATCCAGACATGTGCTTTCACATATGTTGCCTGAGATCATCTGTTTTTCTCTTCCTACATTGCAGGATTATTTTTTTCAAATCAACTGAATGTTGACCGATTGGTTACAATAAGAATTGACCAACTGGCTTGTCACCGGAGTTGTGAGCTTGATTGATCTGAAGTCACCTACCTGGCTTTCATGCCTTAGGTGGAACTTGAACTCCCAGTCTCCTGGTGACTGGTCCAAAGTCTCCCAGCTGTCTTTCATGCCTAAGGCGGGACTAGAACTCCCAGTCTCCTGGTTATTGGCCCAAAGTCTCCCAGCTGTCTTTCATGCCTAAAGTAGGACTAGAATTCCCAGTCTCCTGGTTATTGGCCCAAAGTCTCCCAGCTGTCTTTCATGCCTAAGGCAGGACTAGAACTCACCACCTCCTGGTGATTGGCCGAAAGTCACCCAGCCGGCTTTCATGCCTAAGGCAGGACTAGAACTCCCAGTCTCCTGGTTTCTAGAGTGGTACCTTCAACACTAGGGTGCCGTTTCTCAACTTTGGCAACTTTTAAGACGCATGGACTTCAATTCCCAGAATTCCCCAGCCACAAGTCTTAAAAAGTTGCCAAGGTTAAGATACACCATGCAGTTTAATACTGTAGTATGCCGTTGTTTCTCAATTGTGGCCGCTTGAAGATGTGAGGACTTCAACTGTCCTAGCTGTGTCGGCTAGGGAATTCCGAGAGTTGAAGCCCACACAAGCGTCCAAACACAGCTCTAGGCTTCATGGGGTCGTGTTCTGTGAATGCTGTCATTTAGATGAATTCTTCCAACCACAATTCAGTGAACCCTCAAGCAGGAAGTTGAGCCAACTCGGAGCCATTCTCAGCCAGGATGCTTCCATCCCATAGTGAATGTCTGAAGTCCAAATCCTCTTTATTTTTCCTCGTTGTTTTCCATTCTTCTGACAGAGAAGAGAGCAAATTATGGGGGTGCAAACCTTGGGCTTAATAAAAGAGTTTGGAAAGGCAGAGGTTTTTTTCTCAAGAAAGTTTATTTCAACCAGGCATGAGAGCAATAAATCCATTAAGTGCATGAACACAAAATTACTTATAGCCTCCTTTAATTATAAAAAGTACAAGACCAAGGATTTTTTTTTTCCTTCTTTAGATCTTCAGACAGAAAAGCATTAACTTATTTTATCTATTTGCCACCTCTTGTCAAGGGCTGAAGAGCCACAATATATATATATATATATATTCCAGTCCATTTAGGAACGTGTGTGAAAGACAGCAGCATGAAAACTTTGGTCTCTGCAAATCACTTCTATCTTTGTTAAGAACCACAAACCAAGATAAAAATTTGTACAGGATAGTTCTCGGCTTACGACCAACCATTGAGCCCCAAATTTCCGTTGCTATGGAAGACAGTTGTTAAGTGAGGTTTGCCACATTTTACCACTTTTCCTGCCACAATTAAGTGAATCCGGCTTCCCTTTTGACTTTGGTTCTCAGAAGGACACAAAAGATGATCGTATGACCCCAGGACACGGCAACCATCACAAATGTGAGTCAGTTGCACAGCGCCTGAATTTTAATCATGGGACCATGGAGACGCTGCAACAGCGGTATGAAAAACAGTGCAAAAGTCATTGTTTTTAGTGTTGTTGTAACTTCAAAGTCACTTTAATAAATGGTTGTGAAGTCGAGGACTACCTGTACTCCGACTTTCCACCAGGTAGGAACTCAAGACTGCATCAAGAAATGCTGGATTAGAGTTACTTCGCATTCACAAGGCCAGGACAAGCTTCAAGTGAAGAGATGCCCTCCCCAAGGCACCCCAACTTTCTGGTTACCACAAAGTCCTTTGGGGAAACAGGCACCCCCTTTTGCATCCAGCTTTTTTTTGGGGGGTGGGGTTTACAGGTCAAACTGAACTGCTAATGCATTTTCTGCATCTGAATTTGAGGCCTCCCCTTTGAGGGAGGGTCTCATATGTTCCCTTCAAACACAGAACAGGTGGTCCTTGACTATCATTTGCTTAACAACTGTGGAAAAATAAGGGGGCGAAAGGGGGGGGGGAACTCCACCCACCCCAGGTCCAGGCATCAACTTAGGACTGGATTTCTGATGCCAACTGTAGTCGTAAGATGAGGACTACTTTACATGAACTCCAGCTAAGCCCTCTTCCCTTCTTCCTTTGCTTCTTTCCCCATCGCTAAGATGGATGCTGCAAGGTTTGAGGAACAAGGAATTGCATTTCTATTTAACTCTACTACTAATGGCCCTTTGGGGACTGGACTTCAATTCCCAGAATTCCTCAGCCAGGCATGCTTCAAGGCTGGTAGACTTCAGCTCCCAGAATTCCTGAGTCAGCCAAGACTGGTGGACTTCAGCGCCCAGAATTCCTGAACAATCACGCTTCATGACTGGGTGGACTTCAGCTCCCAGAATTCCTGAGCCAGAATTCCCGAGCATGGCTGGCTCAGGAATTCTGGGAATTGAAGTCCACCAGTCATGAAGGGATCCAATCGTTTCCAACTTCTGCTCTTAAATTAGTGGCCAGAAATCCCAGCCCGCAAATAAAAATAAGAACAAACAGAAGGACCAGGCTAGTCTTACTGTCCTTTTTTTTAAAAAAATAAAAAATAAAAAGCCGGGCTACCTGATCTACACGGGCCAAATGAGGCAGAAAACCGGCGGCCCTGCCAATGGGAACGATTCCTCCTTGCGCCCGATCAGAAAGAGACGGAAAGGAAGAGACGTGGTGAATGCAGCTTTTTCATTTAATAGAAGACAGCTTCCATAAAAATAAAATGACACACGCGCGCGCGCACACACACACCCACCCAAGGGGGAATGACAGAAACAATAGTCAAAAGGGATGCGGGGAGAAAAATAATCTCACGAAAATCAAACTTGGTGCCATGGAAGGGAAGGGCAAACGGAGGGTTAATGCAGCCAGGACTTCATCCATAGGGATTATTTATTTTGTCTTTATTTATTTGTGTGGGGGGGGGATGCATTAACCCTCCCTTTACAGAGAAGTGTGGTGTGATTGTGCCTGTGCGTGTGAGAGGATGTTGTGGTCAAGAGGAGAGATGGGGCAGATGGCAAAAATTGCCTCTCTGGGCCCCCCACCGCCCCAAAATCCACCGCAGCAACAAAAACAAAAAAATAAACAGTGCCATTTTTTTTTTCATGCTCCCTGATCAAGATTTCATTGCACTTAAGAAAAACAAACAAACATGGAATTTTTTTTTTTTTAAAAAAAGGAAGTCGAAAGTTTCCTTTTTCTTTTTTTAAAAGTCCTGCAACCCACTCCCCATAGCTAGCTCTCCCTCTCTTCACCTTCCTCCGGTCAGTTTTGTAGTGGGGGAGGAAAATAAAATAAGAAGGGAAAACAGGTCATTTTGAGGAGAGTAAACCGAGGAAAGCCATTCCATTTTTGCATCATCGGATGAGTACCGTATTCTCAAATTTTCGGGGGTACTTACATGTATGGCATTCAGCTTTGTTCGGGTATTTTCCCACGTC